GGGCCCACCCACGGGAGCTCAGGTGCAGGCAATGTTCTTTAGCGAGCTCAATGGGCGGCGCTCGGGTGCCCCCCCCCCACTTTCAAGAAAAAGCAAGAGAGGTTCATTTCTTGCAGTAGGAAAGTAAAATCCAACTCCCACTCCAAATCCAGTTCCACCCGACGGTGACGTTCCCATAGTTTACCTTTCCGCAACACAAAGGTGTGAGTAACTAAGTAACAAAATAACTATCCAGTCGAACCCTATCCACGGAGCTCCGAAGCGGTGCTCTTAGCGCCGACAACATTGAAGTCGCTACAGAACAGTTGCGGTGCTCTGCGTTCTGACGGTGGAAATAACCCAAGCGCGTACACAGAACGCTGGGTGAACGGCAACAAAGTTGCAATAGCCTCGCGAAGTGAGGCCTCGTTAAAGCTCTTGCAAAAGCAAAAGCTCCCTCGCCAGCAGCAAGTAACCGCTGGAAATTACCAGTTTCGGGGTAGCGTGAGGGAAAGAGGAGAGACAGCAGAGCCACAACATCGTGGGCTGCGGTGAGAGAGGGCTTGCTCAAAAGCAACGGCCTGAGCACATGAACAAGGGGAAAAAAAAAACCTACTTACCTTCAAAAAGCCTTATTAGGCAGAGACCACAAGAGAAATGCTCTCTCCTCCTCTGCCGGCCCTGAAATGAGGACGGGAAGGGGTGCACCCTAGCTCCGCCCCTTGTGCTCGCTAAAGAACATTGCCTGCACCTGAGCTCCCGTGGGTGGGCCCTGCTTTGCCCCCAGGTGCTCAATCACTGCTTCGGGCCCTGACTCGGCCCTTCTGCTTCATTAGCATTCAGAAGGCGTTGCTTCCTAATTATGTCATTGCCCTTGTCAGGTGATCCATGTAATTACAATTACAATGAGATCATTGCAATGTTAATCCAACATCGCGATTACAATGAGAGCCACTAAAAACAAAACAAACAAACAATAAAAGGATCTAAATCCATTTCCATCAGAAAACCTGGCTGCAGTTACAGAGGAAGAAAACACTTCTGAATCTATACTAAACGTACAGCCATGGAAAGTTACAAATGTAATCGAAAAAAAGCATAATTACACCTACACGCAGGAATCGAGAGCGCTGCTCGACTGACAGAATGCCCAGGCGCAAAACACTCATTTGGAACGCAGTCACCGCCCTTAGCTATGCGCCAACGCCGCAAAAGACAAGGCGCCCCTTTCGGAGCGACCCTCGTACCCGGCGTCACATAGAGACACCTGTTCCTTTAGAATTGGAAGGTCACAATCCCGCCAGTGCCATTTCATCCAACGTGTGTTCATCCCATTAACGGATGCTTTCGTTAGTTTCTGCATCTCAGCGACAGCCTCGAGAACCCAGCTCTAAAAAACCTCTGCTCACCCTTTAACAGACTTACACATATTTTAGCGACCTAATCGAAGCAAAGGAACAACAGAGTATGATTTAGGTAACTGTTAGACAACTAGAGAACCATCCGGAGAGCGGCTACTCCGTCCTTGCACAACCTCCTTTTGAACAATTTTCTCCAAGAACACATTCCTTACATTCAGTTTCTTAACAAATTAAATACATTATTATACACAAACTTTGCCGATGACCTAAACTGAAAATTTGTTTCATGCAGTGAAAAGGGGAAAGGAGAAAAATTAGGAAAGGGAAAAGGGCGAAGGAAAAAAAAACACCGTCTACCACGCCTGCCCCCTCCACCAACTGCTGCGATGCTCAAGTACTCACTGGATTTCAGGGAGTTGAGGAAAACCGTATCTGACAGGACCCAAAAGCGCAGGGCTCCTCTCGCTCCTCCCGTCTGCTCGTCATAAGCCTCCTTTCCTTACAAAATCTTCGCATTAGGTCCTGCTGTAAGGCAACTTCGTAGCTCTGTGAAGCATGCCCGTACGGTTCAGTGCTAAAAGAAGCCACCTGCTTCCGTGTTTGAGTGTGAAAGCAGTACGTCTGCTGCCGGTTCTGCACTTCGAAAGCACTGTTTCTTTCTGGCTTTCAGCGGCAGATATATTTACAGCGACACATTGTAACAAGGACAAGCACGGCCTCTCTCACACTTTATGAGCTCTTTTTCAGAAAATTTTGCTCCCTTTGAGATGCCAATGACCTTCCCCCCCCAAACCCCCCGCAGAGAACTGTCACACTGACCTATCTGTGCACACGCAGAATGGAATTGTAAACGGCAAGAGCGTGGAGAGTCTCTCTGATAGCAGCCTGTATTTTTTTAAGGGAGCTGGGGGTGTTGGTTGATGCTCGGCTGAACATGAGCCGACAGTGTGCCCAGGTGGCCAAGAGGGCCAACGGCATCCTGGCCTGCATTAGAAATAGTGTGGCCAGCAGGAGCAGGGAGGTGATCGTCCCCCTGTACTCAGCACTGGTGAGGCCGCACCTCGAGTGCTGTGTTCAGTTTTGGGCCCCTCACTGCAAGAAAGATATTGAGGCCCTGGCACGTGTTCAAAGGAGGGCAACTAAACTGGTGAGGGGTCTGGAGCACGAGTCTTATGAGGAGCGGCTGAGGGAGCTGGGATTGGTTAGTCTGGAGGAGTCTCAGGGGAGAACTCATTGCACTCTACAACTTCCTGAAAGGAGGCTGTGGTGTTAAAAGGTCTGGCCTCTTGTCCCAGGCTAATAGTAGAATCCGAGGAAACGGGCAGAAGTTATACCAGAGGAGGTTTAGCTTGGACATGAGGAGAAACTTTTTCTCTCAGAGGGTGGTCAGGCACTGGAATGGCTGCCCAGGGAGGTGGTGGAGTCACCGGCCCTGGTAGTGCTCAAGAGGCGCCTGGATGAGGAGCTACAAGAGATGGTTTAGTAATAGGAATGGGAGGGTGGTTGGACTAGATGATCTTGCAGATCGTTTCCAACCTTGCGATTCTGTGATTCTGTGATTCTGTGATTCAGTGAACTGCTGTAGCAGAGCCAGTGAGACCAAGCAACAACTTGGGTAAGCACCTTCATCGATGATCCAGATAAGCACTTCTGCTATACACCCGGCCAACCCATTTTTCTCTACGAAACGAGAACTGTCCATGCCCAGAGTCACTTCCCGCACAGAACGCATTATCACACTGGAACGGGCAACTCTGCGGCCCTTGCGGCGCGGCAGATTTGTCCTCTGGCTTCTCCTGCACTTTCCCATCAGCACGCCCGCTGCTGCGGCCCCGACAGGGCCGAGAAATAAAGGAAACTGTCCTTACTGTCAGGCATTGCTATGACAAGGTGGGAAGGGAAGTGAGAAAAGCCCCAAGAAGCAGTTATCATATACATATCCCAACCTGCTCACAACCACAGTCTCCTGAGGAGCTCTTCTGTGGAGCTCCTTCTCTGTATTTCCATGTAGGAAACGGCTGCGGCACATACTCCACACTCAGTGGAATGTTAACTCACAGAAACCGGTTCCTTAATTAATGTTACATTACAATGTCTGATCAGTGAACGGCCTGCCAAGTAGCAAAAGTCTGGCCAAGTTCGTCGCTCCTGGAGGTGCTGGGAACAGTGCCTGCATGCTGAATAGTGTCCTCCAGCTGCCACCGGGGAACGCTGGGGGTGAGGGAGCTGCTGCCGGGCTTTGGGGGAACGTGATGCGCGTGTGGAGCACCTACTGCATATAGCGCTGGAAGCTGGAAGCACGAATACATTTTCTGCACTGCTACCCAGTGATAGAAACTGGCAGGGAACGGAGGTACAGTTTCCACCGATTTCCACAACGCAGGTGTTTCCTTGCTCAAAACTCTCCTTCTGTAAAAGGACATGTTGCATCGTGCAGCCGTAAGGGCTCCAGGGTGCCGGTACCGTGATAGCGGTGCCGCAATCGCACCTCTGACAGGACGGCAAAACCGATTTGCAAAACACAGACAGATGCTGGGAGTTGTGCAGCTGCTGCTGAACCGACCGCGTGTGTTTCTACAGTTTCTAGTTTCTAGTTTCTAGCACGCTCCTCTTCTACACTCCTACTTCAGAATAGACCGATAGGGCGACTCCTTCGAGGAGTCCTCGGTGGGTATCCTTGTCCCCGAGCGTCACTGTCGCTGCTTCCAGGCTGCACGCATCGTTCGGTTCTGTCCTATCTCCCAGTATAAGGCAATGTGACAAAGCAATATCGCTGGTGGGACTGCAGTATCCACCTGGGCACGGAGTGGTGGCTGAGTGGCACCGTTCGACAACAAAACGCTTCCAGCAAGCTGCTCCTTCAAAGGCAAAATCTGTCAGAAGACAGAGAATCAAAGCCGACATGGTATAAAGAATCGGCAATCACACGAACCTCTCAGGGAGCCTTGCTCGCTTTTAATCTACAAGGACAACAGTTTCTGTTAGTCAAAGAGAAAAAACAATTCGTTGCAGGCTGCCAGAAGCATCGGAGGGTGGGAATGCTCTCACGCGCGCTGCTTTGATGCTTGCTACAGTACAACAGACAAGGCACGGCATCACTTTCTGCTTCATGTTGTGGCTTACTATGTTAAAGACAAAGAATGTAAAACAACAGAGTGACAGACAGTCAGGTGGAAGCTCACAGTGGATTCTCACTGACTAATTACCTGCAGAGAGCAGGCCCGGCGACCGAGATTTCGGATGCACCCGAGTGTCAAGGGGAATGTAGCGAGGTGCCAGCTTCTGTAAGCAATCTTCAATATGCAGCTTAGGGTTTAGAACCATAGACTCGTAGAATTGCTCAGTTAGAAAAAGGACCTGAAGGATCATCAAGTCCAACCACAACCATGCTACCCTCACTTTAACAGCCCTCTGCTAAATCCTGTCCCCGAGCACCACAGCCAAACGGTTTGTAAGCACGTGCAGGGATGGTGACTTGACCGCCTCCCTGGGGAGGCCATTCCAGTGCTTAGCAATCCTTTCTGTAAAGAAGCGTTTCCTGACATCCAACCTAAACTTATCCTGGCACAACTCGAAGCCATTTCCCCTCATCCTGTCACCTGTCACCGGTGAGAAGAGACCACCCCGCTCCCACTGTAAGTACCTTTCAGGTATTGGAAGACAGCAATAAGGTCTCCCCTCTGCCTCCTTTTCTCCAAACTAAACAGCCCCAGTTTCATCGAAGCGTCTGGGTTCTTTTCCTAGTATAAGAAAGAAGACTTGGGTCTCTAGCAAAACAAAGTTGGGAACAGCATAACTCCCTCACCTGTTGGGAAAGTGAAAGGCACTCTCCTACCTCTCTCCTTCCTGGAACTACACTGCAAGCATGACTCACCCTTCCAGTAAGGGGGAGGTTAATGGAGTCAGGAGGTGAACCTGCCCGGTCCCGCACGGCCGGAGGTGCCGGGTAACGTGTGCCGTGGGACCGGCAACCTGCTGCACGCTCAAAGCCTGCGGACCTACGTGCTACAGATGCTTCTCGGCCTACCTGGAAGCAAACCCTTCAGTGCAGGTGGGAATCTATGCTCCTCAGAAAACTCAACCGAAAGCTATGGCCCCTCCCAAGGTAGCGCTTAAGCCGAGATCTGTAAAAGAGCTCAGCAGAACACCTCAAATTTTCACTCTCCAAAGGTGAACTAGGTAAGTGACTCCGTATGAGGAGCTGCGCTAACTCAGCCCCTATCAACCTAGCCTTATCCTTCACAAATAAGTTGAATTGGCCCCAGGCACAAAGGCACCCAGAGCTCTGTTTCGACAGAGGCGTCGGACTGGCGCTGCAAGTCTTCCTGTCCTTGACGTGACCTGCCCCGTCCCAGCTGGAGGGCGCCTATTCAGCCAACAGCTGAGCGTGGCGGATCCTTCGCGGACCCTTTGCTACACATGATACAATGAGCATGGGAAGAAGATAAGGGGAATACACCACAATCCGTTTCTTTTAAAAATAAATTGTCTTTAATAATTGAATGTTTACAGCTAGCGCTGCTAGACCAACTGTCAATGATTTCCAGTGAAAGAAGATACAAATTAAGTACAAAAGCCAGATAAAAAAGCTCACGCTTCGCAAAGGCAGTGAGCTATTGCAGCTACACGGAGTCTGAACGTCCCCAAATATCTGCAGGTCCCTCCATTTGCGGTGGGATCTTTGTCGGGCCTTCGACGGCTTCTCTCCTTCTGTGTGCATTTTTTAAAAGGCCCAGGAAAAGCGCATAAAGATTTCAAATGGAAAAACTCCTTTCATCCATCTCACTGTACGTCTCGACGAGCACCTTTAGATCAGTCCGTCACTTTCTCAAGCCATTCTGATGTACGGCGGAGGCTTGGATGCATCTTCCTCCGTGTCACAGTCCTGCGCTGGAAACCGAGTCGGGAAGTTAAGAATGCCATCCCCAGCACCTGCGTGGGGAAGGGAGAGGAAACTGTTAGGCGTCGTAGCCCTTCGCACAAACTCCAGGGTCCCTGCTCAGAATATTTTGCTTATGGGGATTTGCGGCGCATTCAGGACCTTCCTTCCGTAACCCCAGCGAACGCCCAAATACGTAGATCAGAAGAGTTACTCACTCTGTACGGCGCAAACCATTTCCACGGCCTGAGTCTGGTCGTCACAAGGCTGCAACCATTCCTACGAAGGAGAGAACCCCATCACAAACCTCATCATGCGAGCTGGTAAGTAAGAACTGGGAGGCAGCAAAAGGAAGGACGAAAGCTGAAGTCCTTCTGACACCCCCCTCCCTTGGCAGCACTGGAGGAGGACGGCCGGGGCAAAGCCGAGGTAACGTGAGCGTGCAATAACGCGGAGCTGTCAGCCCCGCACTCACCATCCCGGTTGCGCTGTCGTAGCAGGAGCAGCGAGGAAGACTTCGGCACCCCAGGTAGGTGATGACCAGCACGACGACGGCGCTGCAGACGGACGCGATTAACATTGCGATGTTAGCACCCTTGACAACTTTATTCAGAACGAACTTCTGCAAGCAAAAAAGGAAACGTTAGAGCCACGTTCAGATGGCGAAGATTTCCACCAAAATTCTCTAGATATTGTAAGAGAGCCGTGATCACGTATCGGGGTCAATTTTAGGTCAGTGTTCTTTGAAACCTTTCTTCTCTGCTGTGAGGAATGAGCCAAGCTAAGCGCTCCGGTTGAACGCGTTACAACGGGAGGAACGGGCTGTTCCTTGTCACGCTATGAGATACGTCTGGCTAGGCTGCGTCTCCCCGGCCTGACGCTCGGCTCAGACCTGACAAACAGCTTCACACGCCTCGGATGTACCCGTACACGGTTCAGAACGGACGCGATGCGCAAAAGGGCAAACCAACTGACCCCTAGGACAAACCCAACCCTTCTGCTGTGGCGTCGGCGCTTACCAAGCCGACCTCGCTGCGTTGGGGTGCATGGCCCGTCGGCGGGCCGCGGGAAGCTGCACGTCAAGGACAGCCACGAGCTCAGGGGACACTCACCGTATGCACAACGTGTACCGGGTGAGAGCTTGGCTGCTCCTCTTCTCTGTAGGACAGCGTGAGGGAGCTGTAAACTATGACAATGAGGATGGACACGCAAGACAGCATAGATGCTGCTACCAGCACGTTCACCTAGGCAAAGAAACGAAAGGAGAATCAGAAAGGGAAAAGGAAAGTAACGCAGTGAACACAAACAGAAGGGGCCGGCGCGCGGCAGGTCCCAGACTTTGACCTGCTGTAACGCTAGGAAGGATCCGGTAGCAACAGTTGGGTGGAGACCTAACACAGCACAATAAAGGTTTCCACGGGACCGAGCTGCTGAGATACGGTCGAGTCCCACATCTCGCCCCCGGGCGGGAGCGGGGCTGAAATGCGTCCTTCTGAAAGGGCTCTGAGGAACAGCACCCCCCTTTAGGGCTAACACGGCTTGAGACACCCACCCGGGAAATGCAGCTTAATGCCGGGCAGCGATCAAATACAAATAAACGAGTAAATGAACAACACAAGCATTCACGAGCGTTTTCGGCAGATTTGGGTTACTGGAGCCTGCCGGAGCTCACGTTACGCCTCAGAAAGCAAACGGACATCGCGTCCTCCTCCTTCCTACAGATGCGGCCCTTCCCACGAGGGCCATCCTAAGACCCGGGCACCGCAGGGTGCGGAGGCGGCCCCCGCACGGCACCCAGCCCCCGCCCCATCCGCACGCCATGCCCCGTAGCTTACAAGGACCGGGTTCTTCCTCTGAGAGGAAAACAACGCCAGGACGCCCGGGACTCCCATGACCTGCAGCGCAGAAAAGGAGTCGGTGATAAGAGCTGACGACGGGAATCGGGTTGTGAAGATAAAGGGCCGAAAGGCGCTCGTTTGCAGGGTCTGGCTCCGAGGAACGGAGGGACGGAAGAGCTGCCCGCCCGCGGTGCTCCGCGCCGAGGCCCGTCCCGGCGGCGGCCTGCGGGGGGCGGCGGCCGCAGCGGCCCCGCGCTCGGTATCGCCCGGCAGAAGCGGCTCTCGCTCCGTCGCGCGGAAATTCCGCCCGCGGCACCGCCCGGGTTCTGAGCGGGAAGCCGGGAAGCCGGGAAAGGGCCGGCGAGAAGCCGCGGCCTCTCCCCCCCCTCGGAAACCGCAGAGGAAACCGCGAAGGGTAGAAAGCGGAGCGCCGCGTTACCATCCCGGCCCACACGGGCGCTCTGGTTCTGCCCAGCGGCGACTCGCCCCCGAACATGCCGTCGACGAAGCCGCTGACGACGCACAGCGTGCTGAAGGCCACCTGCAGCAGCCCCAGCAGCACCATGTTACGCTGGTTGAAGATGAAGTACCGGTAACGATCCATAGCGCTCCGGCGGGGCGGAGCGCGGCCCCAGGGGGCGGCCCTGCCCTTCAGCCGGCCCGGCCCTCGGTGCCCGCGGCGATGGGCGGCGCGCAGCAGACACGGACAGACGGCGTTGCTGTTGAACGTTTTAATATCTGCATTGCCTCCGTAGCGCAATTAAAGCGATCTTTAAAATTCACTTATTACAAATGTTTCTCGAGTCTGTGTGTTGTTTGTTTGTGTTGTTTTTTTATCTTTTTTTCAAACCCCAGAAACGTTTTATTGTTGTTGTTGGTCTTGCTTCCTTGCACATACACCCAAACACACTATAAAAACCTCATTCGTAACATCAAAGGAAGGGCAATCGTCAGTCATGTAAACATCTTTCTTAGAGTTATCCATTTTTAAAAGTCATGAATAAACCTACAGATGTTCGGTAAGGCTCGTAGTTCGAGTACAAATGTCATAAAACACCTATCAAGTACTGTATACAAGTTATATACGCCGGGGTTAACTGTGAACACGCGTGTAAGCTCACCCCAAGGATTATTCCTTAGCACTTAGTTCTGAAGAACTGAGAGACCCAGAAAGTATGGGCTACAGAGTATTAAAACGGCAGAAGGCCCCGCAGAAACCGTCGAGCGACACACAATTTCAGTCTGCATCTGAGCTCGAGAGTTCAACCCAGCACGGTTACAGTAGGAAAAGATGTACAGGACGAAACTGCGGAAAGGAGGGAGGGCCCCGCTTGCACGGGGCCGGTGTGGGGCAGAGCTATGTCCTGAACGTGCGACGGGCCTCCCTGTTGCCGTGAGTTATGGCAGCCGCACGGGATGCTGGATAAATACTTCCCCGAACAGCAGAAAGGACCGCTTGCAATTGTAATTTGCAATAACTGGTTGCTTCTCCCCTAAAGAAAAAAAAGAAGTCTACTGATCAGTAACCAATTACAGTTGCATCTTACAAAAACACATCCTTTACAACTCTGTTTCGTCTTACTGGAACTTATTTTCTTGTAAAATACGCATTCTACCCAGAAAATATTTCATACAAACATCCTTTTACGTATAAATACATTAAAACTTGTGAAGAGGGTCTTCCCGCACTCGTGATGTTATGGCTTGAACATTTAATTGCTTTCAATTTTTTGTACAGAGTTCTCCCGGGAATGAAAACAGCAAAACCCAACAGTAGTTACAGTAAAACTGAGAGAGAAAGGGCAGCAGCTTCGATTGCCTGAAGACAGAAGAGCGCCAAGAGGAGAGTCCATTCGGCTGACAGTGACCTTAGTGTTCAAAACCTTTGATCTGGGGCAAGTAAACATGCACTCAATCTTGCACCTTGTTGGAAAAAAAAAAAGAGAAAAAAAGAACAAAGCAAATTCTCTACGAGACTGTTCCAGAAATACAGCCCTCAGGTTCGCGGTACACGCAGCACAAGGAACGAGCTCTCCCCACGCGCAGGTGAGCACGATGCCCACGTACACCCGCAGGCAAAGCTGCTCCCAAGCCCGCGCTGCTCCCCCGCACGCCCTCGGCACAAAGCAGTGCGCGCAGAGAGAGGAGGCGGCGGTGGCCACAGCACCCCAGCGCTTAAGGAGACACTGCTGCAACACTGTTTTCAAAGCAATTTTCTTTTTTTTTTTTAAATGCTCAGAAGTGAATTCCTCGGACGCCCACAGCAGCTTCGGCGTTTCTGCTGTGCATGAGGAAACCGAAGCGGTGGGCAACAGCTCTGTACAACTCGTCACCTCATCACAACCGCAGCGTTTGGCCACACGCTGCGCGCTGCTACGAAAGGCCGAAAGAAATCATCGAGGCACGATTCCGGGCCAGGCACCGTGCCGTACGGCCCTGGCACACCTGAAGCGGCGAGCCCAGGCTTCGAGCAAAGGACGACTGCCTGCCAGCTGCAAACAGCGATGGGGACAACGCAGCAGTGCAGGAGGCTCGGAGAGCCAAGCAGGGAGGAAACGGACAAGTGAGGATTTCCACCGCTTCTCGGCTCCCGGTACCGAACACCGGCTCTTCCAGCGTGTGGCACAGGGCGAGAGAGCCTTTGGCGGCACGCCTGCTTCCATGCCAGCCCAGAAACACAGCGGCCCTGAGAAATAAACCACAGCCACTGCCGACTGCGTGCGTCACGAGTAAAAGCTCTGCGCCTAGAAAGGCCCAGCTAGAGTCAGCTGCCTAATCAGTCCCAAAATCCACAGCCTCAGTAGGCAGAGCACCGCATCCCCAGCTGCCCTGAAACTGGCGAGAGTCACCTCTTGCCTGCCTTCAGCTGCACTCGGGACAAAAAGTAAGGCCCGTGCCAGAAGGCATCGTCGCAGCTGCTGAAGCCAAAGAGCGACCAGAACCATCGCTCCGATGGCTGCAGAACCATATATGTGTATTTCCAGGACTCGATTTCTGAAGGCTAAGGTGTTTTTCTGATTAATACCAAAGAATAGGAAAAAAGCTTTTTCAGATTTGCGAAGGAATGTTACGTCTTCCAGCAGATCCCAGAGAGTCACGGAATAGCAGCAGACTCGCTAGGAGAACCCATCTCTAGGCCTAAGCCCTTCTCCCTGTTACCCACAGGCATGACCCAGCAGGCAGCTCTCAGCTAAAACTGACTCACATCCTCATTTCCAAGGTTAACTGCTTCTCCGAAAAAAAAACTTTCCTGCTCTTGGTGACAAAACACAGTGCTGCCACAGGAGAAAAAAAAACAACAAAACAATAATTAATTTCTTTAACCTCTCCAAAGAGAGGGTCAACGGCCTATAACACAGGTTGATACGGGCTCCTTCGCACGAAGGAACTTGGGTAACGACCCTCAAATTGTACAGAAGCCACCGGCAGGCGTGCAGACTAAAGGTGGAAGTTGGGAACCGACCCGTACCTGAAAAAAGCAGCAGTAATAAAATCTCTTAAGCCATCCTCTAGTCACAAAGAGTACACCGTGATCCTCCCGGTCATCCAGCTTCAGCTGACAGCTATGAGCTCTTCTTCCAGCTTCTGCTCCGACCGAACAGGACCCAGGCCAGACTCTCAGAAGTGGAGTTTCTTTACTTCCTGTGTTTTCACAAATAGTCACTGATATTCAATAACTGAAACAAATCGCTTTGCAAAATAAGTATTTCATCCGCTTCCAGCTGAAATCAAGCTCCCTGGTGGGTCTCGCAAGGCTACTGGCAAGCAATTTGGCTAAGCTGGTCTCGCTATCCAATGAGCCCCGGAAGCTGAGCTGCAAAATGCGTGGACCAATTTAAGGCATCGCTCGGAGTTACGTAGTTAACCTGTGTTTCAACCTGAGGTTGCCACGACACACCTCCCAGAAACCCCCGAGGGACCCGCTCAGCCGCGAGCCCTTTTGCCGTTCCGTGGTAGAAACCGTCCCATCCACCTCTACGATAACAGACCGCAAAGAAAGACAAAACACAGAAGAACCCAAGGGCTTGGTCCTGAATCGAGCCAAAGCAGCTTTATAATCGCAACTTTTATCCCAGGTCTGACACTGAGGAAGGGATCTATAGGAGGACCAAGGGTGGAGAATAACACCACAGCGGAGCTGACGCAAACAAAAGCTGCAGCATGCTAGCTGGCTGTAAGCATACACAAGAGCAAGAGCGTAGGCTTGGTGAGCACTGAAGCAGGGGCTTTTGAGAACGCACGGAGACATCCGAGTGCCTTCTTTTCGGGGACTTCCCTATTTCACGACGCACCCACCGATGCTACCTCCAAACCCCGTGTGCTGAGAGCACCCCTCTCTTCTGCCTCTCTCTATATTCACTCGAGAGGAAGACAGACCAACCTATCCAAACAATCAGCTCTGCGTGAAGAGGTGACAGCCGAGGAGTCAGACCGATCGGCAAAGAAGCCAAAGGAGCTCGAGAGATCATAACCTTTTAAGCACAGTTCCCTAGCTGGCATTAGGAGGTGAGCAATCCAGAGTAGGTTACTGAGAAGTAAAGCGGGTTACTGTGGAAGGAGTTGCCCTCTGCTCACAGCTGCGTATAGCCACATACAACGCCCCTCTCCTCTTCCTTGCACTTCAACGCAGCGCCAAGCTGAAACAGCCCCGATCCAAAACAACAACCTGTGGGAAGCGGGGGAAAAAACAAATTAAAACAACAGTAAAAACACAGATTTCTCACTGAGGTCGATTTGCTGAAGCTGTGCCTCCAACCGCCCTTGGACAATTCTCCCTCACCTGTGAGGCTCAATTCTGTCTCTCCGCACGCTCGGTCGAGCCCTGGAGGCATCGCCTCCGCTGCCTCGGACCGACCAGCGGCGGAGCTGCGGCACGAGTCTCCGGCTGCGTTGGAGCTCACGCTCCGCTCGCAGCTGGAAGAGCATCAAAGATCCCGTGGAGTGCCTGCACCCCTCCCCGGCACACAGACTGTAGCTTTTGTGTAAGCTTCAACAGAGAAGTGTGGAAAAAGTGCTCTGTGGTCGGTTGCAGGAAATAAGCAGAGCCCCAGGTTTGAGGTCTGCGCTCGCAATTCCTACCGCAAGTCAAGATTCTCCGAAAGAACTCGTGGCAACCTTCTTCCACTTCTGCCAATGGCCCGACGGCTGGCTCCTGAGGCAGCCAGACGCTAGCAACCGTTCAAGCGACCAAACGCTGCAATAAAAGGTGGGTCTGATTCCCAAGCCATCTATGTTACATATATACAAACATTGTAAACTACAAACGTTTAGAGAAAGCGTCGCAAACGCATTTCACTTGTCGCTAAGCTGCTAAGCCCCGAAGAGAACGTCGCAGTCCCAGATGGGCTCCGGCATCCAGACCGAAGTGACTGTAATTTCTCTCTTCTACAGCATAGGCAAGACGGTATAGCATCCGAACAAAATGAACAACTCCCCTATCTCTGGAAAACACCAAAACACAGCCCTGCAGACAAATATTCACAAACCCTTGCCGCCGACTGTAAGGAAGCTACGGATTGACTGCTGCTTCTGACTGTGAACAGCGAGAGAAGTTTTAACGTTCAGTTGTTTGCCTTTCAAGAAACGATCTTCCTAGCTTTCGCAGAAATCTCAGTTTGACATCTCCGCTCATATTCGCTCCCTATCTGAGCGCTACTAACGACAGCTATATTCTTTGCCAACTGAACACGGACAACTGATACAGCTTTCCTCGACCGAGTTCTGCAGCCTGCCCTCAGGTACGCACGTTTCCTTCAAAAGAACCCATTTGTGCCTTGAGAGCTGGCCGCCCTAACGGGGGAAAGACGCAGACCGACTCGCGGACGCTAACGCCGTTCATGTACCCGCCTTCCGGAACCTGTACTTCTCAAAGTCCTTCAGAAAGACGGTCCGTTTCTCCTCTCGGATAATCTTCGTGCAAAGAACAGCTTCATTTGCGTGTCATAATCATAAATTAAATAAAATAAGCCAGCCACAAAGGCCAGATAAATATTAGGGTTGGACACGTCGCTATGCTACTTAGAGAGCCACAGAGACTGACGCACAGCACTCTCACGTACACGTACAAGCCTTTCCGCTAGTTAGAAAGGATTTTCTCCTGCAAAAGAGGATTCGTAGAAAGAACAACGTTCAGACAAGAGGAAAGGGGAGTTAAAACCCAGCCTCCTAGATGCTAATAAACTGCTCTATTGCAAGATTCAGATCAAAGGTTTAAAAAGGCAAAATGATGCTACTATTAGAGAATATCAAAATATTACTGTTATCATCACAAGTGGCATATATGCAAAATGCAGTTGCACAATAATGCCTAGGCCGATAGAGCGACACTAAGTCTGCCGACTAAAAGTGAACGATATACCCATGTTAGTTTTCTGTCTAGTCTTTTGGCGTCTTTGCATATGGTGCAAAAGCAGAAGCTACCAAAGAATATCACGTCTCGTATAGAATATTAAATAATTTCTCCAGATAAGACTGGTGCGACGCTAGCTAATTTTAAATCTGCTATGAGTAACACAGTCAAACCTAGTTAGTATGCAAGAAACTTATCTCTTAACACAGAATGCAAAGTTATGATGCAACGGCATGAACAATCCCTGCTCGTCCAGTTTTCAGTACAAAGGTAGTGCATAGATCCAAGTTTCTTTTTGAGTTTGCTGAACTGAGGAGGCTCCGCTTCACTTCTGCTGGGCGGCCTGGAAAGCTTTCAGTTCCAGCTGGTACCACTCGGGTGCTTCCGGACCGTTCTGCCCCACAGGGTTGTGATCGTATCCGTAGGCCACGGTCAATTCTTCATCCTTCTCCACAGCCCGGATGGTACGGATACACTTGATGGGCCCGAACCGAGGGTGAACGAACCTATAGGCGAGAAGAAACACTATGGCAAGGCTTCGCTGGCAGCTCACAGACTCCGTTAGCCCCCCTTGTGTATACTTTCAGCAGTCGCTCTGCCTGAAATCTGTATTAGGTCGGCAGATTTCTCCGAGTCAGCCTCATAAAGGCTTGAGGAACGAGGGCATACGTATCGATACATGAGCACCCGTTTGCCCAGCTCTGCCGACAGAGGTCTTTCAATAGTCCTGCGACATGGCTCGCTCAAAGAAAACTAAAAGGTTAATCGCTGCCACAGGCCTGCAGGGGTGACTATGTGGATAATAGCAAACAAACGCACATCATACGAGACAGGCGAGCGCAGAAAATCGCTCGTCTTCGTTTCCCCAGCACGGGTACCTACCAAACAAAAGGCGCTTCCGTTCATCATCTCCCAGGGCCCGACAGTAGAGGAAACCAGCTAATTCAATGCAGGAAAACTATTCCCCACGTACAGATCTACTGTCCTTTCATACGCTGGTACGAAAGGCGTCTGGACCCTCAGGCACACGTATGGCACTGGAAGTTTCCTGACGCTGTGCACCGACTGCAAAGCAGCAGGACGCTTCCTTTCTGCGTTTCCCAAGTGGCAGCGCATTTGACGCTGCTGGCCACGCTTCTGCAGCTCAGCCGACCTAGCGCGGTGCTACTCCAAGTAGGGCTGAGAGCACCGAGTTCATGCGTTTTATAACTCACGGACAGCTGCCCGAACTCGCACCGAAGTTGCCAACTTGAAGATATTCCCCGACCCCCGCCGCAGATTAGTCCCAAGAGACGCCAGGCACGGGAAATGCCGGCCAGTTTCCAGCGGGACCTCCTTCAGCACCGGGACCCATTGCCCCACGCTGCCCACGGCCCGCGAGCCCGGGCCGCGGCACCGTCCTCGCGGCTTCGGCATCGGAACACAAACTTGTACTTACGGGTCGTAGATGCAGTTAGGAGTGAAGGAATGGTTGGCCTTATGCCCCAGCGAGGCACAGTACTTGGCGGCGTGGTTGTAGGGCTCCGGCACGTCTATGACTGTTTCGTCGTCCAGGGATATTGTATTCCCATTGAGGGCCCAGTCTCTGCTGTCTACCTAGTTGGCAAGGCAAAAACCCAGTGTGCGCACGGAGGGTCGACCTCGTCGGCAGTTTGAAAGCAAGCATTCAAACGCATGCAACTAAAGCTTTTCCTGGCTATGTATTTTTTCCTAAAATACACAGTTGAACGTGCACTTGCTTCACATTAAACTCCGTCGTATTAAATCTTAACGGTAAGAAGGGGATGCTATAACATTTCAGAAGGAGCAATGAAAATTGAGACTGACTTTTTTCTCTCCTTTACCTCCTGGTGTGTAATTCTCACTCCGTTGTAGAAGGACATAACGGTACGAGCTTCTGCCGCGATTTTGGAAAACAATCCTTCTCCAGCACTGGAAATGAGAGAGACATCGACGTACACCCTACCAGGGGAAGAACGAACACACTGATTACTGAAATATGTCACAGTAGAAGAACAGCACTACAATAGAGTCTCCTACAGAGCATGAGTGTCACCCGCTACCATGGGACGACTCGCTGAAGCAGAACCCTGCTCTCCTACAGGTTCTGCATTTACTTTTGGCACTACGCTGCATCTGTGTGGAGCTGCCGTGACGCTGGCTCCACGTCTAGAGAAGGGGGGAGCGGTGCGCTCGGTTGCTCGCAGTGTTACACATGGGGGCTATTACTGGAGTTCAAGTACTGGACTCAACACGTATCTCAAGCGCTACAGAGCTCCCAGTTGAATCTCTGACAACGTACAGCTGTGTTCTATCCACCAGAGTGCAATTTTATTGCGTAAGACAGAAAAATCCAATTAAGTCAAATGTTTCCTGACGTGTGGCATAGGCTCCGTACCGCAAGCCTTCAGACAACAGTTGTTTCAAACGAGGAAACGCAGGCAAAATCCGGTCCTAAAAACGTTACAGCAAAAAGGTACGGACGGCTTCGGAGGAAGGGAGAAAAAAAACAGCCTACCTCTCTGACTCGTAAGGATCGGGAAGAAGAGCGTTTGTAGAAATGCAGGATGAAGTAGATTTGTCAAAACTGTACACCGGGCCTAAAAGGAGAAACCAACGAGGGAAACAAATGAATGGGCGGTACGCAAAGCACGCGGCCCTTAACGTAATTGAAATGTTCAAAAATTAAATTAATGTCTGCATAAAACACCGTGCTGTGGGGGGAAAGGGAGGAGAAGGAAAAAAGGGTACTAAACGGAGGTGCACCTCTGTGAGAGGCCTGCTTCAGCAGGACAGTTTTACTCTTCCCCCTCAACGTAACAGAGCAGCAGATTACTGGCAAATGAATACATCATCCTTAAACTATCAAGTTTTAAGAGACTGGACAGCCTTCCAAAGCTGACCCTTCTCAAGTCTTTACTTGAAACCCAAAGCAAAGTTTTAAAGGATATATTTAAAAATACAGTAAGAAAAAAACCGACAACAAACAAGACACAAAAAAAAAGCATGGACTATTTCATCCGTGATGTTTTCTAATTCAGAACCGGAACAGACATCCTCTAGAAGGTAACGTTCAGTAATCATAAAACACATTTGCTACCGTCGCTTACTTCCTGCTATTTCTAAGCAACTCAGCGGTACGGTTCTAATGAAATCCTCACATCCCTCTCCAAACAAATGCCAGAAGCTGTCTGGGAGACAGGTTAAGACGAAGGTGGATGTAAGGAGAAAAACAATCCCAATTATTACTAAGTTTGGTAAAAGGCCATCGCCCGCAGTATCCAAGTGCTAAAAACAGATCTGATCTGGTCTAAGGCAGCTTCATTCAAAACATAATCGAAACCCATTTCTAAAGCTCAACTTCACCAACTCGGATTTGTTTTAAGTAAAAACCAAGAGATTTTAAATAAAAACAAAAGGCAGTAGGGATACTCTCAGTCCCCATCCTCTTCTCACTGACTTCTATTTCGCATTGGGTGACGCAATCTTAGGTGGCCAAAGAGCCGATCTTGCAGCAGCACGGTTCCTGCTCATGCGCACGGCTCTTCCCCTCTCGCCCCCAAACACAGCGCGCGCCCCAGAGCGCCAAAGCCATCCCGGAATGACGTGCCCGACTCCAACCTTTTTATAGCCTCTTTGTGTCAGCAGACCGAAGGGTCCTGGTGACTCACGTTGTTACACAACAACTGAATTTAGTTCGCTAATTCCAATCCCTGTGTCCTTCCACTTCCGTAACACAGACGGCACGATACGCACAGCGATAATGTACACTCGTCCACATGAACTGACGGAGCTACAGCCACGCTACAGCCCCCCTCTGCACTGCTGGTTATGTTACCTATAAGACAGAGCTTGCAGCTGTGCCAGCGCTACCGCTGTTAAGCGGGCTTTCATGCTGACCCAGCTGGCAACGGTGAGCGCAACGAGCAGGACCGCGTCCCCAAGCGTGCCAGAAAAGGGTTACGGAATGCAGTTCAGCAGCACCACCACGTGGGCCACTTCCCGTTTGTCTGCAGAGCAAAGGGCTTGAGCTCTTCCGCCCAATTTTACCATTTAGAAAAAGGGCTTCTCACTGATACGCTCATCCTCTCACCGCGGCCAGGCTTCAGAGCCTCTAATGGAACATATTATTGAGACTGAGCTGTTTGCGGCGCAGAGCTGATAGCAAGAACGCAAGTCGCTGCGTTTAGCCCAACTTACTGCCTGGTACGACTTCAAACTGAGGTTTCCCATCCTCTAAGGATGTCAGAGTTGCCAGTTTGGCTTCTATCATTTCTCCATCTATGAACTTTCCGGAATACGCAGTCCTTCCATCAGGGTACACGTAAGCTATCTTCTCTCCAGTCATCTCTCCTTCTTCATTCACTTCTCCTACGAGGCTGCCTCCGTCCTGAAAGGACAAGGAAGAGAAGAGCACGCAGTGATTTTTCCGGACTTTCTGAAAAGAAGCAACTTAAATTAACTGCCGTAAGCTCAGGTGTGAGGAAAAATGACGTAAAGAAGCTGGGTACGATTCTGGTCAGGATGAAAATGACACAGGAAATGAACTGGGTCTTCTACATGGTTTGACGCCGTCCGAGCCCGTGCTCTTTCCCGCCTGACAAAACTGAGCTTCAATTCACAAAAGCTTTACAGGAACAGACTGTGAAACGAGGCCCAAAGTAATGCACGCACAAAAGCCCACCTGAGAAAAAACAACCACCCTCGTTGCTGTGACTTAGCCTGGTAGTAAGAGCACCTAGCAATTAGGAAGGCTTTTTCCAGAAGAATACCCGAGCTTCTACCAGGAATCAGAAAAACTCTGTCTCTCTTAATGCCTGAAGTACTAGCACACCCCTCGTGCAGACGCACAGCTCTCACACCAGTTTTATCTCGTTTGCTGGGCCAAAGCAGCACGTGCCTTGCGTAGGAGTCCTCCCCCAGCTAAGCAGGAGCAGCCCGTTACGTTAGCGTGTGCAGCTCCCGAGCCTTTTGTCAGCAGTCAGTGCTACAAAGTGACAGAACTGCTGCCCTGCATTCTCAAGGAGATATATGGAAATACATCCTACGTGGCACTGGGCTCCCCGGAACGTAAAAACGTTAAGGGCAGCTCACAGCCTCGCTGTACACTGAGCAGCACCGAAAAGGTTTCACGGTATCTTGGATTATCCTAAACCAGAACGAAAACAACTTCCACCTAGGTTCCTGTGTTTCCTTTCAGATAACTGGCTCTTGGTAGGTATCTCCCTTGGCTGCAGAGAAAAGACATGTGAGCGTTCCATTTAGCAAAAAAGACAGCGAGAGGTCATGCTTACCGGGTAATATATCCAACAAACTCCATGTCGGATGTTGTCCTTATACTGCCCTTTGAATATCAGTCGCCCATCGCTGTCATACTCCTGCGCTGGGCCGTTCAGCTCTCCATCCACATACGTGCCGTGAAGCACCACTCCGTCCTCGTACGTGTAAATTCCCTGGCCCTGCAGGGCATCGTCAACGTAGTACCCTTCCAGGGTGCTGGCAACAAGAGAAAGGGAACAGCTATAGAAGACTGTACACCTCTGTAAGCAGCAAATTCAAAGCCACAACGTGGGCACAACGCAACCGCGCTCTTTATGCCGTCCTTTGACCGGGGCACATGGAGTGTACAAAGCATTCTTCATCTGAATTACACTACTGAGCTTTTTTTTTTTAATAGGCTGCGGTAGCAAATTGAAACAGTGCATGCACTGCTCTTGGTCCAAAAAGCACATACTGCTCAAGAAAGCTACGCTCACATTAGGTTCTTCTACCTCCTGTGTGTGGCTCTGTGGTGACATCGCTCCGGTGAGAAGAAACTGAACTGTCATCCAGGTGGACCGTACTAGAGCACACACCGCAGCCTGTCAGCAAGTCACAGCTCGCTCCCTAGCAACACACACAGCAGCAACCTGCCCTGGATTTGCTAAAGGCACTGTCATTTTTCCATATAGTTCTATTACAATGGACCGGAGCCTGTCAAACACAACTCGTGCTGTGCTGCAATTTGAACAAAGGCACACTCAGCTCACTTCGACTTTGTCTCACAAACCCTTCAGAAGGGACGCAACAACTTCTACGTTTTGCTTTGTTTCCTTGCTTAAAAATGCAGCCAATGGAAACTGCAATGAAAGCATCACCGAGCAGATCCTCCTTCACGGTTATTTCTCTCTCGAGCCAAAACCGGCCTAAGAAATACAAACTGTTGAGCTTCCACTCCTGCATATTTAGCTCACGGGCAGCTGCAGCACACACGCTTTTGCTGCATAATACTGCTTCCAATGTAGATGTTTACAACATAAGCAGTTTGTCTGAGAGCACAAGAGTGAAACTCGCTGCAGCTGATAACACACACAAAGCCCACGTTTAAGCTTACTCTTTAAAAGAAGTCACGCTTAATGCAATATGCCTCCCAATTCTTAGCCACGCCAACGGACCCTGACCCACCATTCCTTACAGGTGGCAGGACTGAAAGCTTTTTCTCAAACATAATGCACGTCCCTGCTGTGATCTGAGAGCTGTCAGTTTATGGGAGCGCCTGCTTAATGGAAGCAGCAGCTGCAGCTTAGCGCCAGGCGCGGTCCTCACGCTCACAGCTACTGTGCAAAGTGCTTGTGAAGTGCTCTCCTGCAAGTGCTAGCACCGCTGAGAGCTCGGAGTATGCCATCCGAGAGAAGAATCTGCCACAAGTGAGCTTGCTCTCCAAAGGAACATGTGGGGTGTGTTACCTTTTTGAAGGGGGAGAAAAAAAAATAAAAACAGCAAAACCATATGTTTTTTAATTAGTTTATTATTATTATTATTATTACTATTAAAGTGTTTAATTGAGTTTAGGGATTAATAACCCTTAAAGTTAGCTGAAATCTGCCCGCTTCCTGCCCTGAAGCACAGAGTGTGGTGCCATAGGGAGAGCTGCTCAGAGAAATGTTTGCCATTCATTTCTCTTCATAAGCTCCCCTCCTAAGCTCTCAGTCTGGCTGAAGGCACAGTTAATGGGAACAGCAGGCCCTGCCTTACGCCAAGTCATCCTCCTTCGCTGTGCTGCCTGACATGACCCGGGCACTCCCGCTACCCAGCAAAGCTAGGTAAATTGTGATGCCATCGGAGTCACCGCTTGCTTATGGCTGCCGTAGCTCAATTACAATAAGCTCAGGCCAGTTTGGAGAAATAAACTTTTTCCAAACCCGTATCACAGACTGCTTGAGTATATTTTCATTTTGCTAGCTCCTGCAGTCACGCAGTAGCCAACCCTACCATTTCATTAAGGGTTACGTTAATTAAAGAAAAATCAAGAGCTGGCAATGATGAAGAGGTACGGCAGCAGCCCCAGTTCCCCCATGGAGCGCTGCCAGGACTCTGGGTGAGGTGGAGCAGCTCCACCAACCAAGCCGTGGGCCACTTTCTCCAACTGCACGCTCAGAGCTTGCTCTGCTGAGGTCATCAACAGGCACAGGAACGTTATGCACACGTGTCCATAGAGACACTGCCTGCCAACTCGGAAAAAAACGGTGCTATGGAGAGGTCAGCTGCTGGGCAGTAGTGATTTTCACTGTCTCGAACAAGATTTAATAAGCCCCCATTATCAAACAACAGTAGGGATTTTTCTTCATCCAGGCTGAGAGGCCTAATCAGCTACCGCGTAACTGAAGAAAAATATTATGCTCCCCATGAAAACAGCCCCACAGTCTCCGTACGAAGCGGCTGCAAAGATGGACGCAGACAAGGAGCTGACTCACAGAGCGGCACAATACCTCCGCTCCTGCTCGGAGGTTTGCAGAGCGAGGGGGAGAGCGGAGCCGGCACGACTGTCGGCCTCGCAGCTGCTATTCATAGTGCCACCGGCAGCTGCGGAGCCAAGAAGAATCGTGTCCTTTCAGACATCTGCCGCTCCTTCCCAGGAAGTTCTGAGCAACTGCGAGGAGAAGCGCTGCTGGTGGGGGAAGGCACTCGGGGTGCTACGGAAGGAAGCGCGCCCGCAGGCACACAGCAGCCCCTGTCGCTGCCACAGCTCCCGGAAAACAAAGTGCAAGTTCAAGGGGCTTCTCTGAAAATAAAGCAGGCCACGAGCAACGTGCAGAAGACGGGGTAGAGCTGAGAACAACGCCACACGTAACTCGGTCCTTTTAGCTGCTAGCAGCTCCCGAGACCAAGTGCACGTGAAGACCGGAAAGGCCCCTACACCTGCGCGTGGCAACGCACTGGAAGCTGTAGGCCCTTGATTTGCCTCGCAGGCCTCCGTAAAAGTTCACTACAGTTACAGGCTTGAAATCTGTAGCCCAGCACCTGTCGCTGTGACTTTTCAATAGTTCTGACTACATCCCAATTCCTAAGGTCTACCACTAGAGCTCTTCCTACAACATACATTACTTGGAAACTCTCAGTGCGAGGAATGTGGATTAAGATTCGTAGCATAGAGAAATATAGAACATAGGAGAGCTGGTCTTTACCTTCCATCAAAGAAGAAGAACTTGCCACGGCCATTCTTTTCTCCATGAACAAAGTTTCCCTCAAACCTATCTGTGGACGAATACGTGACCGTACAGAATCCATGTGGCAACCCATCGTCGTCTAGATGTCCTGAAAGAAAAGGCACATAACAAACACCAAAAAAATACATTAAATGTGATATCGGTTTGCACATCCACCCCGATTACGCAGATGCCCGAGTTGCAGCAGCTCTCCAGTATTTTACTTTAACTCTTACCAAAACATTGACGTTAAGAAAAGTTTTCAGAGATTCAGTATAACTAAGGCTGCTGTTGTGCAACCAGCTACACTTAAAGGTAAAAGTAAAAAGGGGCAGGATACCAGGAGAGGGATGGAAGACGTGAGAGATAGGAGAAGAATAAGCAAAAACATAGAAACCTATCTGAAATAAAATCATAGGATGGCCTGGGTTGAAAAGGACCAAATGATCATCCAGTTTCAAACCCCTGCTGTGTGCAGGGTCGCCGACCATCCGCAACCTCCTCGGGCAACCTGTTCCAGTGCATCACCACCCTCCGTGTGAAAAACTTCCTCCTGATATCTAACCTAAACCCCTCCTGTCTCAGTTTAAAACCAATCCCCCATGTCCTATCGCTATCCACCCTTGTAAACATCCCTTCCTCCTCCTGCTTAAATGCTCCCTTCAAGGATTGGAAGGCCACAACGAGCTCTCCCCGGAGCCAAATAAACACGTTCCATATCACTCTAGCTTCTCTTAACACACAGCTTTAAAAATACAGTAACTTTTCAAATCTAAACCATGCTCTTCCTGGTGAGAAAGACCACATTTACACTTCACTCCATTGAGTAAGATGGGGGTTTTGGGATAAATATAAGCCTTACAACAATGTGGGCGTGCCACCTCATAGCTATATCCACATAAGCACACAAAAATAAAAGCACGTAATATCAGCCACACCGCATGCACGCAGGATGCCTGTCGGTCAGCCACGCTGTACCTCAAGCGCTGCTTGCCTGGCCTTTGCGATGTGCGAAGCCTCTCCCAGCCGTATCAGCTTTCCCCATCGCAGCTGGCACACACGGGGACGGCAGATGGGGGACACACAGATCCCCGCTGCGGCTCTGTTTCAGACCGAATGCAACCGGCAGCTCCGATTAACTTAGAGCATAATGGAGCTCATGTTGCAGCTCTCGCTGCTTCTTCGGAGCCAGAGGGAAACCGACAGCTGCTCCCGGTGTACCTGGAGCCCATAGCACTGTGCTGGGGGCACAAAGCTGCTGGAGAGCAGCACGGTGAGGATGCCAGGAGCCCTCCCGCACGTGCACGCACACGACCTTCCCCAGCTTGAAGTAACTAAGAGAATGTTCCTCACAGTAACTGAGTTATGCTCTGTCGGTTTATTAACCATCTCTCACGTGCGGTACAACCAAGTATGGAAACGCACCCAGGAAGGTGCACAGGAGGAAATGATGAGATATCCCATCTTGTTTACAAAGCATATCAAAGCCATCAGACACCGCTCAGCATGAGAGCTTGGAGAAGTAACAGAGCAAGGGATCAGAAGTACAGAACCACGCTGTGTCCCCGAGGGCTTCTCCTAATGGTGCAGAGGAGCCCTTACTGCCGCCGTGGGCAGGAAGAGCCCGGGCCCCTCCCGGCACCGGGACAGCCGCGCTGCAGAGCGGGACGGGCTGAGCAATTATGCCCGTGTCATTATCACAGCGCCGATAACTCTGATGCGGACATTTCTTTCACAGGGAAAACCGCCACGCGCACACGCAAGGTTTCAATAAAGGGCCCGAACTCCTAACTTAGCAGTATGAGAAGGTACGCCGGTGTAAGCTCACAAACCCTACGCTGCACACCACAAGTTCTTCCTTTGCCGCAGGAGCGAGGCTTTTATAAAGCGCTCGGATTACGTCTAAATCAAAACTAGCGGCACACGGTGCTTCTGAAAAGCAAACCAAACCACCTTCTGACCTCACTCGTGGGGCTGCTCAGCCCCGTTAAGGAGCGCCGGGTTGCGGAGCCCAGCGCAGGGGCTCCGCGCACGCACAGCGCACACGGCAGGGCTCGGGACAGCCCGAGCTGCACGTGCAGTGTCTTCTGAGGGCCGCTCCAGGGGTTCTGAGTCTCAGCCACAGCATAAACGACTCAGCCCTTCTAATAGGCACAGAACACGAAGAAAGAATTAAAGCCATCTTCAGCAAATAAGAGATGTTCGGCGCCTCTCAGTCAACAGGAAAAAAAGAAAACAAGCAATCCGAAGCTTAATGACACGGATGCAGCTTTGCTACAGAGCCGAGGCCTGCTGCTGAGCTCTGCTCCAATGAATGGAAGCTCCCCCAGCGCTCCAGCGGGAGCACAACACCGCTCCCTTCCCTAGCCACTCTCCCCTGTCGTGACAACAAAATCCAGTCGTCCGAACACGCGTCTAAGTTCCGGATCTGCCGCTCCCGTTACTCCTCCCAGGCTACCCGGCGTTTAAGGACAGCAACGACTGCCCCCTTCGCCGCCACCCCCAGACCCGAGGTGCGAGCAGCCCCCCCCCGACACGGCGGCCCAGCACAGCCGTCCCCACGCCCGGAGGAGCGCGGCCCGCCGGCGGCCGCAGCCCCCCTGCCGGCCCCGCGCCATGTGCTCGGCGCCGTTGCATAAGCCCGCTGATGTCATGCGGGGCCGCCCGCAGCCCCGAGCCTCCGCCCGCAGCCCGCGGGACCGAGCGGCGGGGGCCGGGCCCATCCCGCCCCGCCGATACCGAGCGGCGAGGCCCTCCCGTATCCCGCCCCGGGCTGACACCTTCCACGGTCTCTTCCAGCGTCTCCTCGTCGCTGTCCATGGCGGCGGCGGCGGCGACGGGCGGGGCGCAACCGCGACACCGCGGCCGGGAGCGCGCGCGCCGCCCCGCCTGTCCCCGCCCCGCCGAGGGCGTGGCCTCGAGGAGGGGGCGTGGCCTGGGCGGAGGGGGCGTGGCCGCGGTAGCGACTGCGGTGCTCCTTCAGACGGGTGTAGTGTGGACCGGGCTGCTCAAAGCCCGAGCCCCATTGCACTCACCTCACCACGCGCTCGCCAGAAGCTTTGGATGGGCTCTTCCCATCTCCGCTCCTAATGCTTCCCTTCTGCGTTCTGGGGAGGGGATCAGTGAAACCGAGAAAAACCAGAAGTTGGGCACTGCTGCAGAGTTGAATGGTGTTTTTCTCAGCTGCTCATCAGCACGGACAGAATTCCCCCTGCAACAGAAGGCTCTGCTGTGGCCAAGTGACACTCTTGAGACAACTTACAGTTCCTGGCACGAACACTATGTCCTCTAGCTCAAGTTCTATCCTGATCTAATGCTGGAAGGAGATTCTGCATCTGCCAGAACACAGTACCCAAAACGCAGCACGCTATCAGCAACAACAGCAAAGCTATGCTTAGTTCCCTTGTTTAGACTGGGAAACTTGTGCTCTTTGATGGGCCGTGAGAACTTAGGCCAGATGGAAGCAAAGTAAGGACTGAGGCCAACGGAACCGCAGGATGAAGCTGCACTGCGGAAATCTGGTGGAGAATTCCCTCCCAAGGAGAGGGAAGGGATATGATTTTCTGTCACAACAGCGCCAGCTCTGTCACTAAACTCCTCTATGCACTTACGCACCTGAGTCGCAGCACAGCAAATCGTCCCGTGCCTCGGCTGCTGAGAGATGCAAACTTTAAGGCGATGGGGAAGCACACGCACCTGAAGTTTTGGTGAGGAGCTCATTCAAATCCACTTTTCTCCTTGGCCAAATCATTAGTGGCTGGCTCCACATAGTGGATTCTCATGTAATTCCACTGAGTAGGGTTTGGCATTTGGTACTTTCCCCGCAGTGTGGTTTCCCAGAGAGGGGCCATTTGCAAGCCTGAACAGTCTAACGGTCTAACGGTCCTTGCAGGAGAGCAGTGAAATCCAGCCGGAGTCCTTCTGGAGGCCAACAGCAGTCCTGTTTTTGGCTGGGGAGACTGGGGATTGGGAAGTGGTGGTTTGCATCTGTGAGCGTGCTACTGGGTGTCTGCAGAGATAGGGGCAGGGCATCAGTGGAGGAGTCTGGTTCTTCATAAACACAAGAACATGCTGTGATTAAATTTGTACATATTGTACCTACAAAGCCATCGTCAATATGGATGTACTCATCTGAAAGTGAAGGTGAATCTGCAGCACTGACCGAGGGCTATCGAAGCCACGATGAGTGGCTGAAAGTGCCTCATTTCAGAGAGGGCTGTGGGGAACAGGTGCATTACTGTAAGGAGCTTGTTGGATGCGTGCTGGGTGCGGCCGTATCACTTAGTGCTGCTCCCTCCAGCCATGGCAGCGGGCTGCTCAGAGGCTGTGATTTCAGTTATGTAAGTTGCTGTGTCAGGCCGGGAGGAGGCCGAGCGGAGGCACACAGATGATGCTGCACTTGTGTGCCGAACAAAGCACGACTCTAACCAGAAACTTTCTGGCACCGGTTTACAAGAAGACGGGTTCCCATCTGCTTCCAATTTTGGGATGTTCTCTCCGCGGGATGCGCAGTGATAACCTGTAGCTTCCCACTGCAACATGACTCACGGTACCAGTCATCAGTTCTGGGAACCATATGTGCTTCTGGGAGCAGCCACTGAGAACTGGGGACTGTGCTGCTCCTCTGAAGGTGTTGTCAGATGTGACTACAAATACAGAGCCTTCTGCTTCCAGCCCCGACAAACTCCGCCCTTGGATTCCCAGCTGTCTTTTTCAGCTGTTCTGTGCAAGCACTGTCTTGCAGATCGTTGGGTAGGCTCCTTCTTGGCCTGTCTCTGCGTGGATCAGCTGTAAAAAGAAACCAGGCACTGCACAGATGTTTAAGGGAAGTAAAGGAGAAAGAAAAAGACTCCTCCTTCTTGAGGGTGCATGTAATCTACAGAGAGAAACCTATTAAGCCCTGAAAAGATTGCATGAGGCAAAACAAAATATTGTCTGACCATATCACGCCAACAGACTCGCAAGCAGCAGTTCTTCTCTCAAGACCCCACCGATGGTTTGGTTCACGCAGCGAAGCCCCACTGCTCCAGGCACAGCACGTGCACGGGCCAGGTGGGACCTCCCACCCTGCAGTGTGAACAATCACAGCTGCCGGCGGGCAAGGCAGCGAGTGACAGAAAAGCAACATGATGTCATACAGGGGAACACGACGTGGCTCACATATACGTGTGCACATGTGTATCCTGATCTTCTAAGCTCTTCTCTCTGCCACAGTGATTTCTGATAAATCATTCTGCCTCAGCGGAGAAACAGACAGAGATGCTGAGCGCTTGCAGTTTCTTGTGACAGAATTAGCATGCTGTGAGCAACGAGCATGCACGTGAAACATCCTGAGCATCTATTCCTGCAGCAAATCACATTTGGACAACCCCGCCTTTCAAAGTCTGCTAATGATAAGAACTGTGTACTCAACTGCAACACTGCTTAGTTCTTTCCATGTTTGACGGAACACAGGTGTGTCATCTTCAGCTTTCTATCGCAATGTATGCCCCTCCATTTTCATTGACGTTCCACAACTTCCCAGGACCACGCTTGCTAGAACCTAGTTGGGCTTGTTCGGTCACCAGCTGTATAATCAAAGGATATTAGGATGTTATAATCACAAAATAAACAAGAGAGTTAGGCAAAGCAGACTAAGATAGCAAAAGAGAATAAATAGAAGGCTTACCCCTGTCTTGGGCTCACTCACAAAACACCAGCAGAGCAGATCTCCAAAAGAGATCCTTCCCCACTGGCAGCCAGCTCTTAAATAGGTCCAGGAGGGGTGCAGCCAGGCTCCACCCCTTTGGGCAGCACAGCTGAATTGCCTTCACCTGTGCTCCTCTGGCTGACTCAGTGCTCACCTCAGGTGATCAATCAGAGGTTCAGGCCCTGACTCAGCAGTTCCAGTACACCAGCAACCCCATCACAAGGAATACCACACAGTGAGAACTTCAGCTCTCCGTGTTTACCTGGAATACAGCATGTGTGCCTCAACAGCACACAACTTATTTGGCACCCTGTGTTGGTAGGAACCTGCGTGGCCTCCTGCTGCTCGTGCTCAGGGAAGGTCTTTGAGCAACCTCTCAAAACAACTGATCTTGGGCAGGTTTTTTCCTCAGCACTTTTCCCCTTACTAATACGCAAAACTTCTTTTGCGCTCCTCAGGGCTGTTCTGACATCGTGCTGATCCGCAGCTGACCTCACATCAGCCGTGCCCTGCAACAGCAGAAAATTAAAGCTACTGCCATAGAACAGCTGCACACGGTACTTTCTTTCAGTGCTGAGAGCACTTGCTACTCTGTTTTTAATAGCAAGGTTTCGATTGCTGTTGCAATATGACTGTATGCTGCCAAGGTAGTAGTGAATGACCTTTAATGTGCCTATCTAGTACTGACCGGTTTGCTCAGGAAGGCACGCAAGTCTGTCTGTCAGGCCATCAGAATAAGCACTCTGCTCAGAGGGCCCATAACTTGTTAACAAACACATCCACCTGCACGCACGGTGCTCCAAATAACTCAAATCCGGGGTTAATTCTCCATTAAAAATGTAGGTGCTGAATCTCCTTCTCCTTCTGAAATGCAAGGCTGGCAATGCCTCCAGGCCTAGGGGCAGACAAAACGCTCCTTTGATGCAGGATCTATTCTTGGCCGCGTGACAGACCCTCAGGGAGCTGCTGCAAGTCATTTCAGGCTATGCTTTCCATAACACTTTGCCCTGGCTCAGGTCTGCTTACTGTCACTGACTTCTGCTTCTGCAGGAGGAAACCACTTCTAGATTCTTCCGAAACCAGAGACTTCACCCTCCTGGAGCCCTAAAGCCAGGGAGCTTAGCGCAGACTGTCAACTGCCTCTGTCTCCTGCCTCTGTGTATCCACTGCATGTGTGCTGTAGATGTGAAAATGAGGGATCCTGTCCATGAAATCTGGTGTGGTGGGTGCCGTCAGAACAGACACTGCACAAATGTGGGAGAGCGACAAACCTCAGCTGTGCAGAAGGGACAAAATCAATGCACCCTCGCTTGCTCCAGCTGTCCTCGGAGCCTTTCCCATAGAGCCTGCAGATGTCACGCACAGCGCTCGGTGCCTCTGCAAGCAGCTGCAGATGGCTTCAGAGCTGCATGCCGACGTAGCTTAGCCAGTTACACCTGGGCCTGCATCTCCTTCGTGCTCAAGGCTCGGCCAGCAGCTCCAGTTGCACACAGCCTTCATCACTGGTGAATCACTGAGCTTGTAAGCACTCAGCCTGTGGCAGCGCCCCGTAGGAGCAAGTTCTTGGAGCACCTTGTTCTTAAAGCAGGTGCTGTTTCTAGGCCTTTTTAGAAGAACAGAGATAGCAAATTGTAAGAAAAACGACGCAAAAATACACACAGAAGCTCACTAGGCTCACAAAATTGAGAAATTTTTCAGGATTTTTGCATTTTCAATTAAAATGGCGTTTGCCCATGAGTCAGTGTGTATCTCAGTGTTATTCACATGGGTTCGTGGCTCAGCTATCGTATTTTGCCATTTCTATCGAGTCTCCTTTTGAAAACTGTCAACAGCTTGTCGTGCAGAGTGACTCCCAAATGCCAAGGAACATCAATCTTCTTGCCTATCCATGTCCTGGCTTCCTGGCTGTTCTGTGCCATGCCCTGCCAGGTGACAGGACGAAGTTGCACACCTGCCTATACAAGCGGTTACGTTTCTGTCAGCAATCGGTTTTCCTAACGGTGATTGGCGGCCGCTGCTTTTCCATCGCTCGAGATTGGGCATGGAAGGTGACACGAGGCATTTCTGCACCCATCACACACACACACGAGCGTAATTCTCTGCCATAAGGATCAGGACTAACGTATTTAAAGGATAAGCCTAATAAGCTTTGGAGATTTGCTGTGTTATG